TTCATGCAAGCCCTTTTATTTCCACACTCCAATAACAATTCAAAGAAAACGACATTTAAACAGGTTAAAGAAGGATAAACTGATCTCCAGAAAGATTTGCCTTTATCTGGTGGTCAAATGACTAAGACAATTCAAATAAAACCCCTCCTGTGCCGAGATCTAAAAACATTTATAAAAATAACTTTAAAAATCAGACATTGTAACGAACGCAGTTACATGGGCATTTTTTTGTGTGAATTTATTTTATGAATGTTTTACTTTTAATATCTATTTCATATCTTTGTGTATTTTCGATTAATATGTAAATACTTTTGAAAATGTTGTAACAATGTTATATGGAGATGTCGCCGATTGGGTTTTCACAAAATCACGTGATGCCTTTGATAGGAAGCTGTGAGTTGTTTACAATTAGTCCGTGTGCAAGAGAAAAGGAAAAGGACGGAAAGAAATGGACTTCTAGTAACTCCTAACCTTCTGGTTGGAGGGGCATACGGTACGGACAATTTAGAAAATGTATATTTTGTTTAATAAGTTTAATTTGATAATTCATGTAGGTTTTATTGATGTATATTTTCCACCGTGTATTTTACAGTGTTCACAGTGGTCTTGGGCGTGCATTACGGCAAATACGTTAATAAACGTTTCGAACCATCAGTCGGATGTCTGCACTTTCATAAACCAGTGAGAAAAAGTTGGCAGCAGCTATAGCCACCCTATATATACTGATGCTTGGGCTTAACATAGTTACTGATCCTTTGAGATGGAAGCTCAACCACGTGATTCCCGTAGTGGAACATGGCAGCAGGTTTCATGGGCTGTCGTATTTGATGCAAATGTGGACAAAGTTGGTTTGTGACAAAGTCCTCACTCAATATGAGACTTGATAATGTATTCTGCTCCTGATGTCTCGAGCCAGAACATTACTTAGAATGAACAGTTGTCTATTTAATGGGCTGAATTTATAATTCTGAACAAATTGTTCTTCCTGGCACACAGCAATCCAACAAAGAACATAAAGGAAACAATACAATTCTATGGGAAAAGAAAATCCTCTCTTTTTTGCAGCAGTGTTGAAAATCATTATTTTCCAGGCTATTGAGATGTAGAGTTCTGATAATGAAATTATAATCAAGGGACTGTGATATATTGTTAAACAAGAACACCATATCATTTCTCAAGATGAAAAAAAAAAAAGAATATGACTGACAATCTTTATACAAGCTGTGAGTGGAGGAAATGACAAAAGGCCGATAATCGGGTGCCAGTTGAAGGGAATGATAGCTGAATGTCTATATCACAGGCTGC